GGTGGTGGAGAAGCAAGTGCGACTGCTGATGCGTCCACGCACTTACAGACCAACAATATTATATTTTCTGTTTTCCTGGCAATCGTTGCTGCGTTTATTCTGTACATACTATTCAAGCAGTACAGAAACTGTCACTTGGCTATGGTGCAGAACCAGCTCAGAGAGGATGCATTCCGGCGGATCAGGATGAGGCTGTCTGGAGCACGGAGGAGTCAGAACGAGAGAGACGGTGATCAGGAAGCAGGACCTCGGGACATGTAATGACTTCGACTTCGGTTCGCATCAATTTTTTTCTCTCTTTCTATTGTTTCTTTAGTAGTAATTAAGTCACATGTTCGACTACGTATATATTTTAGTTTTAAATGTGTTAAGTTAGAAATGTAATAAGCATCTAAACATTTTACAGTTATCAGATGGCTAATGATTTAATATCTATCTTAAACGAACTTGAAAAGATAAAGGTATCTTTAAGAAAGTTGGGTCCCAGTAAGCGGGAACTGAATGTTAATTACATTAAAAGAAAATTTTTAGATGCAGAAAAATTATATAGTGAAAATAAAACTCTTTGTAAGTTAATTTTAGAGGAAAAGTTGTTTACTAAAGAATTTACGGAGATATTTTTCTTAGATATAATAAGTAGGATAGAAGATACATTTAGCAAAATAAAAACTTATTGTGTAAGTTCCGAACAGACTACTAAAATGGAGAAATTTAATTTGAAAACTGCCGCTAGTTTAGTGCCGGTTATGGACAGTACAGAGGAAAGCGTTGAAAAAATTATCGATAGCGTAGAACTATATGATTGTTGTCTCACGGAGACCAACCCCAACCAACGACCTCAAACTCGATCCTAAATATTCGAGGTAAGTCACATACATTACAATTGCGTGGCCGGGGAAATTATCATTTTAGATCCCAATCGGGTTTTCGCGGTAATTTCAGCCAGAATAGAGGTAACAATAATTCTTATGCTAACAGGAATCGTACATTTCAGTACAATAATTTCGCATTTCGTGGAAGACAATCTCGTGGTTTTCGCACGCGACCAAATCGCGGTCGAGTTGTTTACAATAGTAGAGGCCAACAACAAATAAACGTTGCAAAAACGGATACAACTAAATCTGAGGGTACGGAAGGTTCGACTGATAATCAGGAAAATAATAATAATCAGTTTTTTCGATCCCAACAGTCCTAATATTTTAACATGTGACGTAAGCAGTGCTAATTATGTAACATTATATTTAAACGAGAACAGGTGTTCGTGGCTTTTAGATACGGGTGCGACCTTATCAGCCGTGAGTAGCTCTGTATTAGGAGATCAATTACATGTTTATGAAGATAGGATTACTATAAACGGGATAGGCGGAAAGTGTTCTTCAAAAGGTTATGTTTATCTTACTTTAAGAACTGTTGACAATTTTACTTTCCAACATAAGTTTTATGTATTTGAAAAATTACCTTGTAAGTCAGAAGGTATTTTGGGACAAGATTTCTTAGATCAATTTAGTTCAATTACTTTTGACTTAGAAAAATCTTTATTAAAACTCACTGTTGGTGACAAAAAAATATTTTTGCCGTTATATAGAATACCTCAAATAAGTAATTCATCGTTACATATACCAGCTCGTTGCGAATCTGTTCATTATATAAAATTAGATTCAGATATAACACAAGACTGTGTTATACTACCAAAACAATTACATACAGATGTATTATTGGCAAGCTTAATAGTTAGACCTCAAAATAAAATTATTCCTATTCGAATACTTAATTCTAGCGATAAAAATATTACTTTACCTATTTTTAAACCAGAGTTAGATTTGCTAAGCAACTATGAAATTTGCGCGTTTGAGAAATGTGAGTCCGGTTCCCAGCGCGCTAAGTTATTGTTATCGTTATTGAAATTGGATCATTTAGATTCTACGGAAAGACAAACAATAGAATCCATTTGTGTAAAGTACACCGATGTATTCCAATTACCATGGGAAAAATTAACTACTACACCGATATGTGAACAGTCTATCGCCTTGAAACCTGATTCTAAACCTATTTATACTAAACCTTATCGTATACCTTTTAGTCAGAAAACTGAAGTTGAAAAGCAAATCAAAAAAATGTTACAAGATGATATTATTGAAAAATCGCAAAGTGAATGGTCTAGTCCTATTCTTTTAGTTCCCAAAAAGACAGATGGTGAGAACAAAAGTTGGAGGTTGGTTGTGGATTATCGTAAGCTAAATTCAACTATACAGGACGATAAGTTTCCACTTCCAAATATTACCGAAATATTGGACTCGCTATCAGGTGCTGTTTACTACACACATTTAGATTTATCTCAAAGTTATTATCAGGTGCGACTAACGTCAAAAGATGATAGTCGTAAAATTACAGCATTTACGACTAATACTGGCCAATACCAAATGAAAAGACTACCTATGGGTTTGAAAATAAGCCCTAGTGCTTTTTCACGGGTCATGACTGTTGCAATGTCCGGCCTTACGTTTGATAAATGTATTATTTATTGCGATGACCTTGTTGTTTTTGGACGTAATATATCACAACATAATAAAAACTTAATTGATGTCCTTGAGAGGTTAAGATTAGTCAATTTGAAATTAAACCCCAACAAGTGTCAATTTTTAAAAACGGAAATGTTATATCTCGGTCATACGATATCTAAGGATGGTGTTTTGCCAGATCCTGATAAAATTAGAGTAATTAAAAATTATCCTTTGCCAAAAAATTCTGACGAAGTTAGGCGATTTGTAGCATTTAGTAATTACTATAGAAAGTTCATTAAAAATTTTGCGGAGATAACAGAGCCACTAAATAAACTTTGTCGGAAGAATGTACCCTTTGTATGGACTGAAAATTGTGATCAGTCATTTCAATTTCTAAAACAAGCTTTATCATCGCCGCCTATACTTCAATATCCAGACTTTTCACCTAACAGCGAATTTATTTTGCAAACTGACGCCTCAGGTATTGCGATAAGTGCAATTCTTTGTAATAAAGATTTGCGCCCAGTAGCTTACGCAAGTCGACCATTAAATAAATCGGAACGTAATTACCCTACTATCCAAAAGGAACTTCTAGCTATCGTTTGGGGTGTAAAATACTTTCGCCCATATTTGTTTGGAAAATCATTTACGATAATGACAGACCACAAACCGTTAGTATATTTATTTGGAATTAAAGATCCTAGTAGTAGACTTTTAAAATTTCGATTGGCTCTTGATGAATACGATTACAAGATAGTTTATGTGCAAGGTAAAAATAATCCTGCAGCGGACGCGTTATCTCGAATAGTAATTACGTCAGAGGATTTGAAAGCGATGAATGAACAAATTATGACTGTTATGACGCGAGCACAAAAGAGGAGAATGGAAGAAAGTGATAGGATTGATATTGGATCCCCCAATGTATGCACAGACGAGCGGCCTGCGCACCCGCAAGTCGTGGAGATATTGAGGATTCCAAATAACTCTGTGGAAATGTTATTAATAGAAGGAGAAAAGTTAAGAAAAATGAGAGATAAACGACTAATTGATGTTGAATGGAAATGTTTTGCATTTAATTCAAAATGTAAGAAAATATACATAAACCTCGATTACAAAAAACAATTTCACGCGAGACGTATTTGTGCTGTATTTGAGTGATTTTTGTAAGGATATAAACGTCGACGAAATATGTATTATTAAAAATGAAAGTAATGAAATGTTTATAAAAGACGTCATAAATGAAGTTAAAAATAATGAAAATTACCTAGGCCCTAGGATATGCATTTTAAGAGGTGTTACGAGAATTGATAAGAATGAAGATAAGGAGTTTATTTTAAACGATTTTCATCTACTGCCCACTAGCGGTCACGCAGGGGTACGTAGAATGATAAACAATATAAAAAAATGCTTTTACTGGCCAGGACTAGAGAAAGATGTCCAAAACTATGTTCGAAAATGCCAGAGCTGTCAAAAAATGAAGCACTCAAGGCATACAGTTGAGCCATTGGAAATTACAACTACGGCCACAACTGCCTTTGAAAGAATTTTCTTAGACATAGTTGGTCCTTTAGATAGAGACTTAGACGGGAATGTTTACATTCTCACATTACAGTGCGATTTAAGTAAATTCGTAGAGGCTTATCCTTTACCTAATAAAGAAACTATTACTGTAGCTAAGGCCCTAGTTAATAATTTTATTTTAAGGTTCGGTATACCAAAATGCATTGTCACTGATAGAGGTCAAGAATTTTTATCGTCAACTATGGCAGATGTTTGTAAATTACTCGAAATCGAAAAATTACATAGCACTTCATACCATCATCAAACTTTAGGCTCGATTGAAAATACGCATAAACATTTAGGAGCTTTTCTTCGCATTCAGTGTGATAAGCACCCGGAGGCATGGAGCTACTGGCTCCCCTACTGGTGTTTTTCGTACAATAATACTGTCCATATATCCACTAAATATGCGCCGTATGAATTAGTATTTGGAAAACATTGTGTAATTCCTAGTAGACTAAGTAATAGAGTTGAACCATTGTATAACATAGATAATTACTGTTTAGAATTAAGGTATAGATTACAAGTTGCGCAAAAAGACGCTCGTGAAAATTTGTTATCAGTGAAACAAAACAGAAAAAGTGTGTACGACCAAAAAGTGAACTCAGTGAAATATAATCCATCCGATTTATTATTAGTGAAAAGTGAAACCGGGACTAAGTTACAAGTACTGTATGATGGACCTTATTTAGTATTAGAGGATATTGGACCAAATGTTGTTATATTGAAAAACAATAAACGAGAAATTATTCATAAGAATAGAACTAAGCCGTTTGTAACTAATATTAAGTAGTGTATAGAATTTCTGCGCGCAGTACATTCTTTTCAGTAGATTGTTAGTTTTATTATTAAACTACATGGTTTTGTTTATTCTATATAGTTATAAAAAAAAACATTTTGTTTACCAAAAAATTTTTTTTTTTCAAATCAACCCCTGTAATGTGGTGTGAGTATATGCATGTTAGTGTGTAAGTATGTGTAAGATTATAGTAAGCATCATTATTGTGGAAAGTACTCAGTAATAAATGGATCGTGACGCTAAACAGTAGTTTGTCATTTGACACCCCTTAGTCCCGGGATACTACAGTACCAACTACCAAGATTGTTTATATATGTAACCACCTAATCTGATAGACTTTAATGTAGTTTTTCATTGTCGTTTTCCTCAGGTCCGACGGCATGTGGGCGAGAGTTCGTGCGCCGCCCTTATAGTGATGCGGTCTCCGCACCGGCGGTATGCAACACAGGACAAATGCGAGGCCGCCCCTCAGCGGCCCAAATCCCGCAAGTTGTTCTGGGGAGCTGTAGGCGCCACTGTACTAACTGGTGCGGCAGTTGTTTATGCTAAGTATGTGTTCTTATTTGTTGTCTCATTATTTTGTGCCCTTAAGGGTCTGACACTCCCTGCCGCCCTACGCCCCTACCCTGGGCGGGAGAAGTTAATTTTACACAAAAAAAAGTGTATGAGAAAGAGGCTAGGCTGTATCTAGCAGTTGCATTTTTTGACGTATTGATTGAATCGTAATGTATTGAATGTAAAACTAACAATTTTTAATGTTAATTACCACAGGAGCAGTCCAGATGCTCGCAACTGGCTAGAGTCAAATGTCCCTTGGGCTAACGACTTCGTGGCTCTAGTGTACCAAGAGAACACCACGTATTGGAAGGCAGCCGCCAACCAATTCAACAGGACCACCTCTTATCTCAGCGAATTCATGTTCGGAAAGGTATCTTACTTATATTATAATTGCGAAAGTTACGATGTTTGTATGTTTGGATGTTTGTTACTCAATCACGCCAAAACAGCTGGATGAAATTTGGCATAGGATACACTCCGGAATAGGGCATAGGTTACTTTCAATCAACATACCACGCGGGCGTAAGCTAGTTTATTTATATTTAGTACATCGTCATTGTTGTGACAGAAATGCAAAAAAATGTTCTCCTTTTGCGAGAAGTTCGATTAGAAAGAAAGTTTCCTCGGTAAATAATAAATTAATTCGATATTTGATTACAATTAAATATTGTAAAGTAACTATTACTATTATTCGCAATTAAGGGGCAACGTTTCCGGAGGTCTTACAATGCAATGTGGATCTTTCCGTGTAGAAAAAAATTGTTTTTAACACTTTTTAAAAGTGTGAGTTGCGTCTCAATGTGAACTGAACTTTACAATTATTAACCCGTAAACAGTCGACACAGAAACCGGCTTGAAACAACCACAGTGTTGTGTTTCGTGTGAATCAGGTTACCGTAATCCAATCCCTCCCCTTTCCCCGTCCTTTTTTCAATCCCTAGATATCCGAAACCCTTACCCCCAAAAGGCCGGTAAAGCACTCCGATTGTTTACCACCAGGTAATCCGTCTTCAGCCGGAGTTGCGGGGTAAGCGCAATGAGGCACCGCGACCCCGGCCCAGAGCAGGAGTAGGAACAGGGGGGTTTTTAATCAGTAAGAGTCTGACATTCCCTCCCGCTCGGCTCTGGGCGGGTGATTTGATGATTTTCCCCTCACAAAAAAAAAGATAAACCGTCGGCTCATTTACCGACCTATCTAATAAAAAAAAATACAGAATATTCCATTCCTCAAATTATAATTATAATTACAGGAAGGCGTTACCCCACCAGATGTGACTCCGAGATCTGAGCAGGATATTGAGAAGGATGCTGCGAAGAAATTCGCCAAGAAGACCTATCAGCGTGAGTGAAATATATATTACAATTAAAGGGGCTTAATATAGAATGTTACTACTATTGATCACAATCCAACCATCTCCGGCAGCATCTAGGCATTTTAATACATATAACAATATGCAATACGATACATTTTTCATTGACCACAATCTCATTAGTATTCGATTAATGTAACGTATGTAAGATACTAGTTGAATAAAATAGAAAAGTCATTTTTACATTTGAGAGCCGACTTGTTGCGCGACGAATCGACCACGGTTATACCAAGGCGCCTTAGAAAACCGGTGTGCAATAACGCTTAGTTTTTGTCGTTCGGTTCGAATGAGGCTCTGGAAGACACACCTTACGTACATATACCCCTCTTCTCCACCTCTGGGGAATAGAGGGGGTTTTTGGGGAGGTAGCGGCTTGGCTTTCCCCAAGATGAATTGATGGTGAAATGGTATGAGCACATGCTGCAGTTGTCCATAGGAAGTCATTTCCCATCAGTCGATCCGTCTTCTTGATTGGCCTCAAAGTATTTTATGTTCCAGACTTTTCTATTTTGTCCAACATCATTTTAGCTTATCTAAGCAAACTAGGCTTATAATAGACAATGCAAAACATAGACCATCGCATTTCTGTTTTTTTTTTTTTGAAATTGACAAACTAATATCATCGTACCATGTTCAATATCATAATAATAACTAACCTAAATAGTTGTGTGTTCATATAACAGTGCCACCGCCAGTAATCGAACCCCTGTATGTGGAGGAAAAGGTTGTGACCACACCGCAAATTGAAACCAAAGGTAAGTTCAAGTCAAGAGCCCATTACATAAAATTTTACTGTATATCTTTGTGGTTAAAGTTCATTTTTGTGTGGCTCTTCCAATATATTTTTTGGTAAATTTGTCGCTATTTAATAATTTGGACTTATATTTTTTGTACCTTAGTTCTTACCCTATAAGCTTGAACCAAACACATTTGGCATATGTGCAATTTCCAGCCTTATTGTTAAACGCCTTATGGTCCAATATTACATACTCTTCTTTAAAGCTACTTTCTTCATCATTCTCCAGATAAAAAAAATTACTCGTAATCAAATTTCAACCTTATTTCCCAGCTACTTTGGTCCAAACTGACAAATGCGAGCCTCAGACGGCTCAAGTAGTGAAGATTACTAAGGATATGGTGGAACTTGAGCACGAAATGCACGAGAACACGAAAATCGCCATAGACAACTATAAAGTGGCGACACAGTTCTGTACAGACTACAATAAGGCTTTATTCAAGGTTTGTTTGTCTTTGGTTTTATTTTTTTCTATTCTCTTAGAAACAAGGTTTTAATTTTTATTTTTTAATTTATGGTCTGATTTTTTCTTACCTAATTCACCCACTAACGCCAATAAGACTTATGCGTCATTTCTCAGTAAAAAAGACTTGTACCTTGCTAACCTTGATAAAAGAAATACACACTAAATCTTCCCAAAACTATTCAATACATTTACGATCAATTTACATTGTAATAAAGTTGAAAATTCATAAAAATCGTATTGCTTCAGATCATAGAGGCGTCATTGGATGATTTGGATAAGAAATACTTCAGCGGTCTCCAAGGTTTACAGCAACAGATGAACAATGCCCACACTAAGGCGAAGGAAGCCTCCGCTAAAGCCAAATGTGCTATTGGTAAGTTCACTTCGACATTTATTTAATTTTTTTTTATGGTATAAGTCGGCAAACGAGCAGACGGATTACCTGATGGTAAGCAATCGGCGCCGCCCATGGACACCCGCAACACCAAAGGAGTTACGAGTGCGTTGCCGGCCTTTTGGGGATAGTGGTTGGGGATATAAGGATCGGGAAGGGATAGGGGAGTGGGAGGGATTGGGCCTTCGGTAACCTCACTCACACGGCGAAACACAACGCTGTGGGTTGTTTCACGCCGGTATTCTGTGAGGCCGTGGTATCACTCCGGTCGAGCCGACCCATTCGTGCCGAAGCTTAGCTCTCCCATACTTAATTAGTAATCGATCCCACACTTATATAGGGCAACTGGCAATTAGTAATCGATATTTAAACATATGATTGTAGTCATGATAACAAACAACTCTCCCAAAAAAAGATTTTTCCATTCTTATTAGTTTTATTTTTATTATTACTTACTAGCTACTCTCGCGCGGTTTCAGCTGCGCAGCTCCATTTGCGTAGCGTGACGTTTTATAGCACTCAGGAACATTGTAGCTATCTATCAGTGAAAGAATTTTGGCAACCCAAGCAGCGGTTCCAAAGATTACATACAAACTTACAAATATTACCTCTTTATAATATTAGTATAGATAAGACACCACTGACATACGGTGAAGGTAAACGTCGTCGTGAGGAAACCTGAACTTATAATTTCAAATTATAAGTTTGAAATCGTCAACCCGCATTGAGCAAGCGTGGTGATTAATGCTCTAACCTTCTCCGTATGAGAAGAGGCCTTTGCTCAGCAGTGGGCACTTATAGGCTGATGATGATGATTACTTATATTGATGATATATATGATTGATACTAACAGCTGTTATCGCCGAGTATATCTATATCTATAAATTGTTGAGTATATAAAAATGTCATGTCATGTGTATTACGTCGTATGAATGTGGTTACTGGAGGCCCAATCCTTGCCTCTCCAATTCCCAAAACCGCAAGTGCCAATCAAGGCTCAAAAGGTCGATAACCCACTTGTTAAGTCCTTTGGTATTGTGGGTGTCCATGGGCAGTGAGGATTACTTACCATCAGGTAATAGGGAAAATCTGTAACCCTGTTTTCGTTTAAAAAAAAACCCCTTCCATGACCTTCCATAATACTGTTCTTTTCTTCTTTTAATCCTTGATCTTCATTCCCAGAGAACTTGGACCGTATGATCAAGAGTGGTATGCAAGCGCCCCCCGAAAGCCAGGCCACCACCAAGCGGTACATCAAGCAGTTCCGCGCAGACCTCACAGAGGCTGAAAAGAATTTCAGCGAAGAAAAAGAAAAGTCTGCCATGAGCAACAAGTATTGGAAGAAGGTATGTTTTTATATGACTTTTGGTATAAGCCTTTTAGGCATCAATGAATTGGGAATTTACAGTAGTTTCTAACTAGTCAAATTCAATACTTTTATCCAAATTTAAAAAACGGTACTTTTCTTTATGAAATTTGTATGAATCGCTGAGTTATGACGTCATAGTATTTTAGCGTCAAATAGCTTACTTATTTCTTAAAAATTTGTTAGTAAATATCTTAAATTTAGTGTATCGCTCGATGAATAAAAGTTGTGTGCAAAGATTTTTTAATAGAAATAAATTATTACATGCGAAGCAGTTCGGATTTACAAGGGGTCGTTCAACAACGTTGAACTTCTTAATCATATTTACGACGCATGGGAGGACTCAAGCGACGCTTTGGGAATATTTTGTGATTTATCCAAGGCGTTCGATTGTGTGCTTCATGATACACTGATCAGGAAGCTTTCCCATTACGGAATTAGAGGTGCATCTCTGGACCTTCTTACCTCATACCTGAGTAATAGGGTTCAGAGAGTTGAAGTAAACGGAATGGTTTCTGCCGGGTCTGTTGTGAAGATGGGTGTTCCGCAGGGTTCTATTCTCGGCCCGTTTTTATTTCTTATCTATATTAATGACTTGCCTTACCTTGTAAGGGATAAACACGAGATAGTGCTGTTTGCTGATGATACCTCACTATTATTCAAACTCAGACGACGACAATCAGTTATTGACAATGTAAACAGTGCTCTCTCAGAAATAGTTCACTGGTTTGGTGTGAGTAACTTATTACTAAACGAAACTAAAACTAAATGTATTAAATTCACAACACCAAATGTTAAACAGATAAAAACCAGTGTGCTTGTCAAGGGCGAGGAGTTGAGACCTGTAGATACAACTGTCTTTTTAGGTATAACCCTGGACGCTAAGCTCCAGTGGGGCCCACATATAGATGGCTTGTCGAAGAAGCTCAGTTCTGCAGCATATGCCGTTAAAAAAATTAGAAATTTAACAGATGTAGATACAGCGCGGTTAGTTTATTTTGGTTATTTTCACAGCATCATGTCATACGGTATTTTGTTGTGGGGGAATGCTGCTGACATCCAGTCTATTTTTGTTCTGCAGAAAAGGGCTATTCGATCAATCTATAATCTTAGTCCGAGGCATTCGCTCAGATAATTATTTAAGGAATCTAAAATAATGACAGTTGCCTCTCAATATATTTATGAAAATGTAATTCACGCTCATAAAAACAAAAGCTTATTTAAGAAATATAGTGATATACATAATATCAACACGAGGGGGAAAAACAAATATGTTGTGCCTGCCTCCAGGCTTCAGAAAATAAGTAGTTCGTTTAGGTGTCAATGTAAACGCTTTTACAATAAAATTCCTAGCGATATTCAAAATTTGAGCCTCAATAAATTTAAAACTGTAATAAAGGCTAAACTTTGCTGTAAAGCATTTTAAAAAATAAAAGACTACTTAGAGGATAGTCAGGCTTGGGAATGAGCCGCTGTAATGTCTGCACAGGTCATGTTGACATGTTTGTAACATAAGTTACACTTTAATATACAATTTGACATTACGTTTATTTTTTTTTATACAATGACATGATCACCTATTGTGACATTTTTATTTTTTATTTGACATTTTTTTTTTTTATTTATTTGTTGACATTTTTATTATATTATATTTTTGTTAGTGTAAGGACCGTGTGAGACTTGTCGTGCTTTTTGATCACCAGTCATCTGCGTTCTGACAGTTTGAGTACTTGCGCGACCCACCCAAATGTTCTTTTGATCGGTATTGTTCGTCGGACAACTCAACAGCACTAGCTATACTGGTTGCAAACTGACACTTGCGTGCCTGTCTTCAGAACGGGTCCACTTAAACTGGTGTGGTTCTTTCCTCAAAAGACCACTACAGAATGGACTTGCACGGTTCTCTCACATTATGTTATTTTATATTGTCTGGACTTGAAAAGAAACTGACCTCTGAGTTTGTTTCGGCATTTCTTCTCAGAGTAGTCAGATAGGAAATGCCGGCTTCATCTAGTTTTTCACATATAATTTGACGTGTAAAAGTGCCGTTTTATGGCCTATTTGCAAAAATAAATTCATTGTTTCATTGGTTTTATATTTATTGGTTATTTCCCATTTTACAGGTAGAAACAGCTCGCGAAATGTTCAAGGACGAGCTACAGGCTTTGTACCCCGGCATTGACATCAACGCGCGCAAGCTGGATATCCGCGGAGATACCGACTTACTACTCGTGTACGCGTTGAAGAGGGTGAGCATATATTGTCTATTATATACTAGCGGCCCACTCGTACATCTTTTTTTATGAAATAGGTCGGCAAACGAGCAGACGGATTACCTGATGGTAACCATTAACGCCGCCCATGGACACCCGCAACGGAGGAGTTACGAGTGCATTGCCGACCTTTTAGGGATTAGGGATTTGGAGATTTAGGGGATTGGGCCGCCGGTAACCCCACTCACACGGCGTAACACAACGCTGTAGTTGTTTCACGCCGGTTTTCTGTGAGGCCGTGGTATCACTCTGGTCGAGCCGACACATTCGTGCCGAAGCATGGCTCTCCCACATTTAAACTTACTTCGCACGGGTATAACTATCTCGCTATCAGGGTCACTTTTACCTAATCTTCCACTCTACTTTTCTTATATTTTCTTTGATAACAACCTTTTCCTTACAATAACAAACACAACAAAAAAAGAATAAGCAAAATTGGTTCAGGCGTTGTTGAGTTATGCGCTTACCAATACATTTTGCGATCCATTTTTATATTATATATAAAGATTTGTTTGATTGGGGTTTTATTTCTGAGTTGAAAATCATTAAACTTACCTCGCTCAAGAGGCGAGGCAAATGTTAATGACCAGATACCCCCCGTTCCTTCTCCTACTTTAGGCCGAGGCTGCAGTACCTTAATGCGCTTGCCCCTACACCCTGGCTGAACATAGGCCCTGTCGGACCCGCCTGTGGTGGTCTATCGGCTCTAGGGCGCGCAAGGGACGCTTTTGAACGTAGGGAAGGGGGATTATCAAATGACTTTTTACGCCCTGATCCTCTTTATGACTAAAATCCACCCCTGATTCATTTATATCCTTCCTCTGCTTTGGGCCAGGGCGATTATATAATTGTGGTTCGACCCGCACTCATATTAGCCCCAATCTATGGTGGTCTATTGGCTCTATGACCGCTCGGAATATGTGACTGATCTTAATACCCCATAATAAAATCGTTTGCCAGCGTTTTTATCCGTTTAGTTTTTAAATTTATTTACATTAGCTGTGGTAATTTAAAAAGTTTTTGAGGAATATACCTAATAGGTACATTTTAACCATATTACGCCTTGAAGTATGCAACTTACTCATAATATTATTTTATTACACAATTGTATCGTTTGCAAGCGACTTTGTACTTTATCTTTTTAATTATAAAGCATATTTTAATTAAATATGTCATTTATATTATTTCAGATACAATACCTGCAGAACCAATTAGTGGAGTTGCAAACAGTTCGCGACCTTAAGATCAACAGGGCTATCGAATGTAAGTTTTGTTATAAACAATCTCATTTTCATTGGATTTTTTAAATAAATATATTTTTTTATTATTTCTATGCATGTGACCAAGTGACCGTCTCACCATTTCTCAGCAAATAAGTTATAAGTATTAGGAATACCATGACAATGACTGCACGGTTGACGCGGCGCAACGTACCGCGGGTTCTATTCCCACACGGAACAACTCTTTGTGTGATCCACAAATTGTTGTTCCGGGTCTTGGTGTGATGTGTATGTGAAATTGTATGTTTGTAAACGCACCCACGACACGGGAGAAAATCCTAGAGTGGGGCAACGTTGACGAGGTATATATAAAATATATAAAAAAAGAGAAATTATCATTAAATATGCACTGATTCTAATATATCTTAGATACCAACAGCAAAATTAAATCGATTAGAACTAGTGTATAAACTAAAACAATGTTAATTATAACATAGTTGTCAAAACTGGTCACTAGGTGGAACTATTGTCTAAGCGGTTATACAACCACTCAATATGGTAGTTTTCAACTAGTCAAATTCAATACTTTTATCCAAATGACAAAAACGATACTTTTCTATGAAATGCTGAGTTTTGACGTCATAGTATTTTAGCGGCAAATAGTTTACTTATTTTTCAAAAGTTAGTTAGTAAATATTATATTCAGTGTATTGATCGATCGATGAATAAAAGTATAGTTATTTTTCAATATTTTATTGTATTGAAACGTCGAATTAATTTAATTAATTTATTTTTGACCTAGGAAACTACCCAGTTGATTTTTTCCCTTATCTCTTATGTGTCAGCTGTTTCATTATGCTTACTAGATTATAAATAAATCAATTTCATCAATTTTGAGTTCGCCAAATCTTATCACAGTTTTCTTATTACTTTCAGGTCACGACGAGAAAGCTATCATTGAAGCTAAAGCCGAAGACATCATTAGGACCGAAAGGATGGCCAGAGAAGTTGAATTCATGAAGAAGGTATGTGTAACCTAAATTGAAACTTAAGTTAACGTGCATAGGTACTAGTTTTTTAGAACTCATACAGAAATTAAGTGCAGTCTAAATTGAAACTTATGTGTAAGTATATAGGTAATTATGTATAACATCATAGTTGTACTTTTGATGTATTAAAGTAAAATCTAAGTATCGGTGAGCCAAGTTTCGACGCGAATAGGCAGCTGGACCGGCGTGATACCACAACCTCACAGGAAACCGGCGTGTAACAGCCGTAGCGTTGTTTCGCCGGGAGAGTGAGGTTACCGGAGGCGGGCATCCTTCTTCTCCCCCGATCCCTTTTTTTTGTTTTTTTTTTGGTGGAGGAAGTCACCAAATTACTTCTTTGTCAAATCTTAAACCTTTTTTAGTGGAAGTGCCGCTCAGACTTTTAATCCTGATCTCTTGACAAAAAACCATCCAGTTCCTTCCCCTGATCTAGGCTGAGGCCGCAGTTCCTTGTTGTTATTATTATCTTCAATCCCGAAATCTCCAAAACTTAATCCCCACGAGGCCAGCAAGGATCTCGTTACTCCTCTGGTGTTGCGAGTGTCCATGGCATCACGATTCTGTCAGATCGATTGCCGCCGTAACACAAAAATGAGTTATTTAAAATGAGATTGCTGAATGAAGCCGATCTAATCGTGCCGAAGAATGACTCTTACAATCAAAAAATCAAACATAATATAAATAACTATAAAATTCATCTGGTTTCAGAGCATGTTAGTCCAAGCGGAAGCGAACAGGCAGACTAAAGAAGCTCTTAAGAAGCAAATGGAGATTCAACAAGAAGTCATGCATGACAAAATCGCAAAGAAGGAAAAAGAGGTACGAATCAAGAACATAAATTATATCTTATATAACAGTATTCAGTATTTTTCTAATATTGTTTTATTTATACACCTGACACGCGTGAAGAAAAACAATCTTGAGCAAACGTAGTAATAAATCCTCATTCCTTAAGGGAAACCAGGGTTATTTAGCTTGACATAGTAAAAAAGAAAAGTAGTGAAATATTTTTATATGAAAATTGATGAAATTGTTCTTGTTCGACAGATGATGAACAACTTCAACCGCGCGGTTTCTGAGAAAGTCGAGGCCGAGCGAGTTGAGTTCAAGAAGGAACTTGCCGCCATGGCTGGCAAGCTTAAAGCTATTGAACAGACGTTGAAACGTAAGTATTATTAGCATTACTAGCTACTTTGGCGGTTTCACCTGCTGCTTGCCTCTTACAGATAGGGTGATGTTTTATAACCTATAGTACTCAGGAACTGTAGCTATCTATCAGTGAAAGAATTTTGGAAATCCGACTAACGGTTCCAATCATTACCGCCTATATGCAAACTTACAATTACAAATTTTACCTCTTTATAATATGATATTTTGTACTATGTGATAGTTGTTACCAAGCGGTTTCTCTTTGTGGGCTATATAGCCTTCCTCCATACATGGACTATACACCAAGTTTTTTTTTTGTATTTCGAGCTAATTGTTTCAGGCCCATCCTTCGGCAATAAGCGATCGGCCTTGTGTTGTGTTTCGCCATGTGTGTGGGATTATTAAAGGTCCAAACCATAAGGAGGGGGTCCGTCCCGGATATCAATACCTCTAAAAATTAAGTCCTCGTTCATAACCATGGCCATAAAATGTGTGAAATAATCTATAAAGCTCAAAATTAAGTGTGAGAGAGCTTCGGCACGAATGGGCCCGCTCGACCGAAATGATACTACAGGAAACTGGTGTGAAGCAACACTTAAGTTGTGTTTGTCGTGTGAGTGGGGATCGAAGGCCCCACCCGCATCTCAATCCTTAATCCACAAATCCTGTATCCTTAAATCTCTAATATAATCTCCAAGAGGCTGGCAACGCACTTGTAGAGAAACTCCTTTGGTATTACGAGTGTCAATGGAACACATGTTGCTTACCATCAGCTAATCCGTCTGCTCGTTTGTCGACCTATGACTTAACAATAATATTTGTACTGCAGAACGGTCTGCGGCGGAGGCGGAGGCGCGACGGTCGCAGTCGCTGTGGGCGGCCGCCGAGGCATTGCTCGCCGCTACACGCAAGCCCGCGTCCGAGGCCAAGATCGACAACGAACTCAGCGCGCTCGAGAAAGCCGGTTAGTATAATTCACAGAGAAAAACTGTCAATTTTAAAGGATCCATTTTATTATTTAATTTTGTCACTATCCATGCGCCCCTGCCTCGCAAGGGCGCAATAATAATAGGAAAAAAAATACTAATATTGTTATGCCCGACATAATATATGTAAATCCTTATGTACCCTACCCTAAGTTCACATTGTGGAATGCAATAAATATATTGGGTATTGAGTATACGTTAATGAAAGTAACCGAAACTTCGGTACTAATTTTCTCTACTATTAAATGGATGTTATTAATATACATATAAACCTTTCTCTTCTTACTTAAGAAAAACCACATCAAAATCAATTGCGTATTTCTTAAGATTTAAGTATACATAGAGATATAGGGGACAGAGAAAGCGACATTGTTTTGTAATATGTCGTGATACTTACTCCGTCTATTTACTGGCTCAGCGATCCCAACGATCTTACTACCAATCACGATTCTTAGTTTTCGATGAGATGAGATTTCTCCATTTACCCTTGCTAACTCTTTTACCTAAAAATCAAGTGTAAATATTGTATTAGATCAGACACTGAATTGAGATGAATGTTAAGGTATGACCAATAGAAAATGTTTTAAAAATAGACCAAGATAACTCATCAACATAATTCACGCTGCCATTTGAAACTTGTCAATAATTTCTCGAATCTCGAAAACATTCGTAAGTGCTGTTTTCAATTTTTTATGTATTAATATTTTTTTTACACAAAATAAAAAACGTAATTCATAATGTAGGTCCCAGATGACTAAGTATTCCTATTTTTTACTGACTTAATAAACCACTTTTTTTCCCAGGCAAGGACGACAAACTGGTAGAAACAGTACTTAAGGGTATTCCCGCAGAAGTTCGCGAGAAAGGAATCGCCACTGAGAAATCGTTACGGGACAGGTTTGAAAAGGTATTCCATTTGTACTATCGAATATTAACAACTACTGGGTGGTTTCTCACCGCCACTCGGCTCCTGATGTAATGATAACCTCCTCAACAAATTTTTGTAGTGTAAATGAGGTAACTAGAAGCTCGATACTCTCCCTTCGAACTGCCCCAAATCCCTAAAAGTTCTACAACACACTTGCTACTCATAAATATGAGGCCCAGTCTGGCTTGAAATTAGTCGGCTTACTCTGTCAAATAGTTACATGTGTAATTTGTTATACATTTAAATAATTTAGTAATGTTTTCATGTTAGATGGAGAAGACAGCAATGAAGGTTGCCCTGGTTGGCCGCGAGGGAGCCACGCTTCCCGTCTACTTCCTGTCCTGGTTGCAATCATTGCTGCTGTTCAAGACGGTAAGATTATAGCGTATAGCGTAATAATACTATCTTAGTAGCCCTGCGGTGAAAACTAAGTAGAACTTAGACCTCTGCAGGTGACCCTCTGGGCGTTAGGGATCGCCCGACGATCTCAGGACGGTGATCAAGGGTAGCTCACCTCACGACTAGCGGCCCGGCCCTGGCCGGAGGAGCAGAAAGAATGGGGTGGATTTTAGTCAGAAACAGTGTGAAACCTAAGACGGGAGGAAAATTGGATGTTTTCCACTTCCAAAAAAGTTTGAAATACTAGCGCAAAGCTTGAAATACTAGTCAAAACAGATACAGATTGCTTTCATATTGCAACATGGCATGATTAAAATTATACTGTTAATGAATAAATAGAAGGTCTAGTAATACGAGTTTTTAATATGACAAAAAAGTGTTTAAGACTTAAATAAGTTTACCTGATTGTTCGTTAATTTATAAGCAATATGGTTGATATTAAATTGCGGCTTACGTTATCGTTTTCAGTTCGCTGATATCCCCCAAGAGGAGTTGGAGAACCAGCCTACAGACTTCACTAAGTTGGACACTTTTGACATCATACAGAGGGCAAGGTATGTCTGGGTACAATGAGCTATACATCAACTCAGAACTGAGCTCCACGTCGTGATATTGTTAAGATCTGGATAGAGCAGAGTATGAAAACGATGATGATAATAATAATAATGAAACGAACATTATGTTCAACAGGCCTCTGTGCCTTGAATCTGGCCTCTCTTTTTTATGGTATAGGCTGGTAAACGATTATATGGATTAGCTGATGGTATGCAATCAGTCTCGGATATTTAACGATTGGGAAGGGATGGGGGGGATAGTGAAGGATTGGGCCTCCGGTAATCTCACTCTCACGGCGAAACGCAACGCCTTGTTTCACGCGGGTTTTCTGTGAGGCTGTGGTATAACTCCGGTCGAGTCGATCTATTCGCGCCGAAGCTTGGCTCTTTTACATTTGCGTACGTGCGCATTCCAAAGATCCGATAGTCGCGTGAATGTACAAAACAATAATGTCGACAGGTACCACATGGACCACGGCAACCTGCCGGCGGCGCTGCGCTACGTGAACCTGCTGCAGGGCGCGCCCCGCGCCGCCGCCCGGCCCTGGCTCGACGCTGCACGCAGACACCTCGAGATCCGCCAGGCTGCTGAAGCCGTTATGGCCCACGCATCAGTCTCGGGACTTCTGTACCTATAAAAATAATGCTAATGAATTTTGTTCCCACTACTTGTAAACCAGCGTCCCTACTGTCGGGCTACCAACAAAAAATTTATAGTAAGACGCTTTTAATCATACGTCCTTGCTATCAAGAAGTATGGACATATCTATAGAACCCAAACTCAATGTTTATTAGTTGGTAAAACATCATACTACCGGTCAACTTTCTTTCCAATCGTCAAAACAGCTCGATAGCACCATAATATTGTATCGTCTTCTAATCAATATACGATTGGGTAGTTTCCTAGGTCAAAAATTAATCAATTCGACGTTACAATACAATAAAGTATTTAAAATAATAACTATACTTTTATTCATCGATCTGTCGATACACAAAATTTTCGATATTTTTAGCAAATTTTTAAAAATATCTCATTTGGAGTTTCGTACAAATTTCATAGAAAAAGTATCGTTTTTGACATTTGGACAATGGAAACTACCGTATTCTCATGTTTCGTGATGATACAACAATTTTATTAGGAGTGTGTGTGATCCAGTTTCTTGGGCTTGATGACTTAGTTCGTTACATGTCGACCTCCGGCTACCTGAGCTGTGTATAGGAAATTGAACTCTATACCGTTAAGAATTGATATTGTTATTCTATGTTTTGGCTACCGGTCGTTTTGATTACATGTGTTGATTCCCGACAGTTTGTTCTGACAGTTGAAGGGTATGGGTAAACAAAATTCACACAATTTGTGTCGAAAGCTAGCATCTGTAGGCGTTATTAAACATCTTTGGCACATTATCGACCCTCGTACATCAGGTTTAAAAAGTGCTGAAGTTAAGAAAAGTACTAAAAACAAGTAAAGTTTCTAGAATGCACTATAAGATGTAATTTACTTTCAGTCAGTTTACCGTGTAGATTTGTAGGTGATAAAGTCGGTATCGTAAACCTTATTTGTATCAGCTATTCCCTTATTTTGACTGTTTACAAAAGTATTTTACATTACAAATCCATGAAATTAGTCCTTGAGAAAAAATACTTTATTTTTGACATTATTCTTTATTTACCAGTCGATTGTAGATCATTAGTACCTATTCTGAGGAATGTGACATGTTTAGTTTATCTTAAAAATTGTAAAACACAATATTCACGTGAATGATGTAGTTTTATCAGAACAGTGAAATTTTGTATTTTTTTTTCTCTGCACAAATGTGTCTGCATTTATTTGAAGAAATACATCAAAATGTTTAGATTCTGTAAATTATGGTGCCAGCTGCGAAACGTGTGGAGGTTTCCTTTAATTTTAGTAATTTATGTAAATATAAAAATATTGTATGTAATAAATTAAAAGATGATTTTTATGTCAGTTTGTTTTTTCTTTGTCACAGTCAAATCCACAGGTTAAATCATTTATATACACTTTTACTTTTGAACGCCAAATAAATATTTTAAAATAATGTATGTCTGAGTACCGGTCAGTATTTCTTAGTGAAGCCTATTGCTTATTTCAAAGTGTAGTTTCCAATTTGTATTTACTATCGTGTGAGATTACTGCTCGTATTATACTTTTTTTTCATCATAGTTATTATTCCACGCTGTATAAGAGCAGTATTTATGTATGAACTGTATAAATATTGCACATCATTTTTTAGAACCCTACAATTTTGTGCTACCTACGATCTTTATTTCTAGTAAACTTTTTCTACTAGTTTTATTGCTCTAAATAATAATTGATTAATTGATATAGGTATGCAATTTGGCTGATTGTCAAGTGAAAAGGGGTCAGTAAGAATTCGAGGGGTTAATGCAACTAAGCCGAACACACTATATTACTCTACTCTTTGAAGCTGAAGATGGTGAATAAATACTAAAAAATATTCTGTATCTATCCTCCCCTTCCCCCCTTTTTTTGTCAGAGGAAAATCATCAAATGACTTCTCCCGCCCAGAGCCGGGCGGGAGGGAGTGTCAGACTCTTACTGACTAAAAACCCCCCTGTTCCTTCCTCCTGCTCTGGGCCGAGGTCGCGGTGCCTCAATCCTCCCCTTCCCCCTGAAATTCTATCATTTTTCTGTCTATGAATCTAATAACAAAAATGAGGTTACATTCACAAATAAACTGGCAATCATTAGCTAAAAAAATGCATGTCAAGTCAGAACGAGAACTGTCCAAAGAAATTGAAATATGTCAATTTTCTAAAGAATATAAATTAAAAATTTCTTTCGACATCAAACAAACAAGTATTTACCAAAATAATGTTTAGAGTGACGTCCTGTTTACCTACCGCTAGGATACTTTTTGTAAGTATTTTCATCTGTTCTGGTTGTTGAAATATTATTGTGGTGTGAGTGACGAAAGTAGGCAAAGCATGTATTATTTATGAAAGTTCGTAATAGGTACCTTAAGAATACGCTAAATCATGAGGGTTCGAAACCTGTCAAGTACCTACCAGTGGTTGCGGGGTAAGCGCAATGAGGCACCGCGACCTCGGCACAGAGCAGGAGAAGGAACAAAACAACAAAACCCCCCGGTTTTTAGTCAGTAAGAGTCTGACACTCCCTCCCGCCCGGCCCTGGGCGGGAGAAGTCATTTGATGTTTCTTTTCCGAGTTATAAGTAGGTAGGTACCTACATACTTATAACTTTCTAAGATAATTAAGATACCCCTGACATAAGCTGAAGCAAAACATCGTAAGGTCATGGACTTATATGGATAATTTCTTATTTATATAGTCTATGCAAATATTATAAAGAGGTATAATTTTATAAGTTTGTATATAGGGGTTAAGAGTCAGAGCGCGAGAGTAGTAGACCACAAGCGTGGTGTGTACCTACCTAATGCTCAAACCTTGTGAGAAGACGCCTTGCTCAGTACTTAAAAGCTGATCATGAAGAATACAGACTAATCCTTGAAAAAACTAGTTTTTTTTACGTTAACGCGTTTTTAACGCATTTAGCCCTCTGATTGGTTGCACGTTGAACGCCATCGGGGAGAACCTGAGGGCCACGTTAGCGAAGGATTTTCCTCAACAATAATCTGTCGGCAGTCGATGACTTAACTTAGGCCAATCAGAGCGCAAAACGTCGTAAACTTGTCGACGCAAACTCGCACTAAGGACATGTTGGAAGTGGTAATGTCGGATTAGAGAATACATAAAAAATTAAATTTCGCGGGTGACCTTGAACCGTCTACCATATACTAGTTACTCTAGCGACGTTTCACCCGCAGCTGGGCTCCATTTGATCGTAGCGGGATGTTTTATAGCCGGCTCCATTTGATCGTAGCATTCAGGAACATTGTAGCTATCTATCAGTGAAAGAATTTTGGCAATCCGACCAGAGCGGTTCCAAAGATTACCCCCTACATACAAACTTACAAATTTTACCTTTTTATAATATTAGTACCTATACATATAGATATAGAGGTATAGATAGGTCAAGTAACATTTTATTTCCCAGTACCGTCGTCACCCAGTAGACTTCCGAATAGCGACTATCTCCCGCTTCCCTACATGTTACAATTACAAGACTATGAGAGAGAGAGATCCGTGCCCAATTCCACCGCCGCCGCCGCCACCCCCACCCAAAGATGACCGATTCATTTGGGGCACTATAACTCTATTGTTACTTGCTGGTGGCTTCGTTGTATATGCTAAGTAAGTTTTTCATACTTACATTGAGCACAGGTAAAATTTATAAGCCGTCTCGTAATGACGCTGGAGTTGAAGTTATTTAGTACCACCGCATTCCGCGGGCGTCGCTAGAATCGATTTAGGGATTAAATGTTTAACAAAAAACGGGTAACAGTGTTCTCTAATAAATGTGATCTGTTAAACTGCGATATCTTAACAGCTTGCGAAGAATGAAGAGAATGAACAGCTATTTAATTTTAGTACAGTCTTTAGTCTAGTATAAACAAAATGCGGTTTGAAGTTCACTTTCTTTTCTCGTATCCTAGTAGATAAATATAAAACTTACCTCCGTAGAGTTTTATTTTTGGCCCTATCCAAAAATACTACCTGCCTTCTACATACCGGCCATTTTAGTAATAAGAAGGGATACTTTTACTGAATAGACCCTAGTTTACCCTAGATGTACATAACTAAAATTTTCTTTAGAGGTTCGCCAGAAATACGCGATTGGTTGACGCTGAACGCGCCATGGTTCGATGACCTTATAGCTATATTGTACCAGGAGAACATGACTTACGGAGAGTTTGCCGTTACTTGCATCGATGATACCAAGAGGTTCATTGAACGTATGACTGGGACGAACAAACCTAAAAAGTGCTCGCTCGAAGGCGGAGAAGTACTCAATTATGGTATGTAAGTAAAATACGTTGCACATTATTTTTCAAGCATAAAAAGATTCAAAAGATTTTTCTACTAAAGGGAAAGGTTTTTTAGAGCACGAGACATCGCATCCGTTTCGTCGTAACTCTTTCTTTTCACCTTCATTGGACCTGTAATTATTAAGACCTTCTTGTAAGTCCTCTTGTGATGTGGGTAGTTTGCTCGTTTGCCATCCTTTCCCAAATTTTAAGTTTTTTAGGTTTTTGTTTTCTTTGCAGATGTACCCGAAGAACCAAAAAATACTGATGGTAAGTCTAAAAACATTACTTCAAGTTACACTTTAAAAAATGAACTGTGTTGTCTTCTGCGAATTACGAACTAAATACATTGGAATATGTTCATCATTAAGGATCATTTTCCAGAAAATGAAATTGTGTGTAAGCCCGAACCTCCTCCAGTCGTCACGCAGAATATCTGTGAAATCGAGCGTTGTATGGTCGATCTAGGAGAGACGGTTCTCAACAACTATAATACTGCTAAGGAAGCTTGCATCTTCTACAATTCGGTTAGAGTCCTTTTTCCTTTAAAACCTACAAGAGAACCATCATTACATCCTCTGAAAAAATTTGAAGTTACTAGCTACCCCGCGCGGTTTCAACTGCTGCTCGGCTCCATTTGATCGTAGCGTGATGTTTCATAGCCTATAGCACTAACGAACATTGTAGCTATCTACCAGTGAAAGAATTTTGGAAATCCGAGCAGCGTTCCAAAGATTACCCCCTACTACAAACTTGGAAACTTACAAATTTTACCTCTTCATAATATTAGTATAATATGTAGCAGTATAGATTATCTTATTTTGCAGGAAGTAGAAAGCGCAATGAAAACTTTCACCTACAAAAGTATGAAGGATTTGCGGAAGACTATGGAAGAACGTATAGAACTTGTCAAAACTTCACTTCATAACGCCTCCACTGCTATAAACAGACTAGGTACGTATTAGAAGGCAATAGGCGCCAAATTTAGGACAACGAAAGAGAAAACTTATAGTTGTGTGAGTCTTTTTTTGAGGGAAAACAATCATGGAATGTCTTCTCCCGCCTTGAGTGGGAGTGTCTCTCTTATTGACTAAAAACCATCCTTTTCCTTCTTCTACTCTGGGCCAGGGCCGTGGTAAATTATTGCGCTTGCAGCCGCAACCCTGGCTAGATTGTGTACGGCTGAGATCAGAAAGGAAAAGGAGGTGAAAGGATAACGTTCCATTCTCCCTGAATAGATATTGTATGATAAAGACATCGTACCTACTGACTGCAAATACCTTGGGTTAGGACATTAAGGAAGAAATGGAGAAAACTATTTTGTACGGATTAGATTGACGACTCAGCAGTCGCTGGTGGATACCTGATGGTGAGAAATCGGCGGAGCAGGTTCAAAACCTGTAAGTGCCAGTTTAAACATTTGCTGATTACGTGTAGGTACTTACCTACTTTCTAGGACTAGTTGATGAAAAGTACGATGAAATGTAAACACGGTGTAGCAACCTGGATTTATGATTCCCAATTATAGATATTATTGGAATCCCCAATCCGCCTTGTGCAAGTACCTACCAATAAATACCGATTCCTTCTGCATGCGAGAAAAAGTTTTTTTTTCTCAGCTCTAGGTTGGTTTAGTAACTGGCTCACGATGATGATAAATTATGTTTAAATAGACGAAATGGTCCGCTACCTGGATTGCGGTGTTCAAGCATCGAAAGAACAGATTAGGAACTCTAAACTACTGGCTCGAGATTACCACGATAAGTTCAAGGCCTCTTTCATGGCGTATCAGTGGGAAAACGACAAGTCTATCGCTATGGATAGACAGTGGCAGATGGTATGATCACAGTTTTCTTATTTTTCATTATTAATTTACTAAACTGCAAGCGAAAAATAGGTGAGCGTTCGCGCACCTATTACCGCACCGTTGGTGTTTGGTGTACCGCAATCATTACTACATACAATATGCAGTCGATATTAGAATATTTTCTTCTGTTTGATAACTATTTACTTTCAGGTGGAGCAATCTGTAGATAAGTACACATCGGAGAACGAAGCGATATTTCCAGAACTCAAGTATATTATGAAGAAACCGTACATATCTGGAGATATTGACATATTACTCTATAACAGCTATCGATATGTAAGTTTTATTTTCGTCAGGGTCGCTAGTTGACCATAAACAAAATCTTTCAACGTCAATAGACCTTCCTTTTTTGAAATCGTTGCCCCACATTAGGATTTTCTCCTGTGTTGTGGGTGCTGTTACAAACATACAATTTCACATACACAAGACACCCACACCCGGAACAACAGTTTTTGGATCACACAAAGAATTGCTCCGTGCGGGAATCGAACCCGCTATACGTTGCATGGCAGCCAGTTGCCCAGTCACTGCACCGTGCAGTCAAATGAACCAACATTATCGTAATCTATACCTATTAGCCCCATTTAGTATTAAAATATGTGAACCTTAATTGGAATCCGGTGTTACGGGTCTAGCCCAATCATGAACTCCTTCCTGTAAGCCTACCATGACGTGTTAAAGCGTCAATCGAGAAAGAGGGATGGAGCTATACACCTTTTATATATCTTCTGGAGCACGAGAATAAGCGAGCAAAAGAGGTTTTTATTCGCTAAAAGGTTAGGTTTTTAGTCAGTAAAAGACACTTCCTCTTGCCCTACCTAGGACGAGAAGAAGGGGTACATTTGATGATTTGCGCCGTAAAAAAGTTTTAATTCCAGCTAATGCGACAATAATTATTGTTATTCAAAATAAAACAAAAATGTGTGCACGTTGAAACCTTAAATAAATGATAGTTCGTCCGATTTTTCGACTTCAATGCAACTATCAATATCTAAACAACCAACGTATCAATAGACTTTTACTTGTAATTAGAAAAAAAAACATTTATAGCGATCACATATACGTGCCACTGGATTTTATCATCACTCATATTTTTTTAGATTCATCAACTGAATGAAGAGGTGAAGGAAGCTTCCGAAGGTATGACCGAGAGAATAAACCGCGCTATGGAAAGTAAGTGTGCACCTGTAATATATTAATACCTTCAAGCATTCATAGGCCACCACAGGCGGGGCCCAATAGGGCCTATTGAGCCATGGGCATCTTGCTTGGTAAGCGCATAAAGCTCGGCCCAAAGCAGGAGAAGGAACGAGGTTTTTAGTCAGTGAGAGTCTGACACTACGGGGAAAATCATCAAATGTCTTCTCTAAGACATTTGATGATTTTCCTCACATAAAAATATCACTCATAGATTGCATAGGCAATTACTGAACTATACATAGTATTAGACTATAACCTAACCTAACCATCTATAAGAAGAGAGGGTCTGCCATAATCTCCGGGTATGCTCTAAGAGCTATTTACGGGGATGCGGCGCATGGGGTGTCCGTCATACATTGCTGTTTGCGCGATGGGTGGCGCGACCTGCTCCTGCAACGTAGGTACGACAAACGCAAGACTTCGTAAATGAGGCCTTAGTCGACATTTTCAAACAAAAACACTCGCAAAAAGGGAGGTGAAAAATACAGATTGGGGCAGCACACTGCACCAGAGTTACATTTTTTTTTTTTGTGGGACAAGCCTGCCGCATCCCAAAACCTCTGCAACTCCTGTAAGCCAGGCTCTACAGTAGATACAACCATGAAAACACCGGAGCACTGAAGTCCAGCGCGTCCCAGGGTCATGAATGACGGTCTTGGATCCCGCAACGAAATAAATCAGAACCAGAATTACATTGCCAATGGTTGGCATTATGTCGAACATGATTCTTATAGTAGACAATGATAATTCTAGTGGTTTACTTATTAGTATCTATGACACCGGAAAATAACAAGATCCGTAAGTTTATCAGTTTACTAGGAAGTTTATAAACTTTCGTAAGATTCTAAACGGGAGATAATTGTAATATTTTACGTCCACATTTTCTTAAATTTATCAATTTCCGACGTCATACGGTAAATTTATAAACTAACGAATATCTGTTCGTAAGATTTAATATGGTTCGACCAATCACAGATACTAATTTAAATATACGATCTTTGAAATACGTAAAATAACACACTGCTCTCTGATTGGTCAATGTTCATAGTGGCAATGCTTGTGTCCATAGAAGTGACACGGGACAGCCAACCAATCAGATCGCGCGTAGCGTTTGGTTACTGCTTACTTATTATTTTACGAGTGAGTTCAATAAGTTTATCAATTTACGAAAATGTGGACGTAAAATATTACAATTTATCTCCCGTTTAGAATCTTACGAAAGTTTATAAACTTCCTAGTAAATTGATAAACTTACGGATCTTGTTATTTTCCGGTGACATCTATAAATAATACGAGATATTACAACAGAATTCTTCTGTCGTATTAAGTTACTCTAAAAATAGAAGTAGATAGTTATCAATAAGTACTTCTAATATTACAGCATTACCACAAGACGATGATAAACGGAAAGCAAGAGAATTACATATACAGAATGCAATCAAGAATTTGAAAGCTGCCGCTGACAACGACTTTAAAAACAGGGTACGTCCACATTACCCTACAATATTCATAACCTGCTGTTGCCCGGCACTCTGTTCGCGTGGAATAGTGAATTCCTGCAGATTTTTGGCATGAAAACTATACTATGTCCTTTCTCCAGTTCCAAACCATGTTTGTACGAAATTTCACAGAAATCGGTTCAGTAGTTTAGGCATGAAGAAAAAACAAACTAACAGACAGAGTTACTTTTGCATTTATAATAATACAATAGATTTGGTTGGATCACTATATAGCATAAAAACTATTTATCGTTTCCTATATCCCTATGTACCTATGCTTAAATCTTTAAAACTACGCAACGGATTTTGATGTGATCGAGAACAGTGTCAAACTAAATAATAATGGAAACATGAAGATTCTCTCTCATTGAAAATACATTATAAGGGTAATAGCATACCTATGAAAACATCCACTACAAAACATAATTTAGAATATCATTAACATTAGCTGCTAGTATCGTTAGGTTAAACGTTATGGGATTCGAGTTATTGAAGAGGACTGTTTATATGTATAAGAACGTCTTTTAGATAATGGAAAATGTTCATATATCCCTAAATTCAAGAACTTGTTACTGATTTTGTAGCAGTAATGAAAGATAGAAATTTCATTAAAGAAAAACTTCGTTTTTTTGCGTCATGTCCCTATTGTATTTTGTTGACAAAAACGTGTTACGTGATCCTTATGTCTGGTCCAATATATATGACACACCGTTATAAATAATTAATCCAAAGTTATCGTTAATCTATTTGATAATTGAATAATCCCTTTACTACAGGCCGGCTTCATCCGACTTCATCTAGTTTTTTATATCTAATTTAGACGATTAAAATTTCAGTTTGATGGCCTATTAACAAAAATTAATTCATTGTTTCGTTGTTTCACAGCAAGACAAACAAAAATTGGACAATGATAACTATCTGAAGGCCGCACTAAAGAGGCAGGCGGAGAGACATGAGGAGAGTCTGGCTACTAAACTGGCACAAATGGAGGCCGATGTTAGTTTACTAACCTCTTTATAAGTATACTATCACTATTAAGATGTATTGAAGTGCTTTAAAAGACACATAATTAAACAACTGAAAGATACTACGCGCACCACAAAGAACCAGGCGTGGAAAAGCTTGGCTTGTGTTTTGCTGTGTGCATGACGTAAAAGACCTTCCCAAAAGACCAGCATCTCATGTCCTATCTGCTAGTATCCCTTTTTCATGGGACAGGGCGGCAAACGAACAGATGTATTACCTGATAGTAAGCAATCAACACCGTCCATGGACATTTCAAACGCCTGTGAAATGACCTTAGGGGACTGAACCCCTTGATCCAGTCAAATAAAAATCTAATCTAACGGGTGGATTTTAGCCTATGGGAACCTCACACTTACAACACGAAAGAATCTTACAACCTCGGCGAATATACAGTGCAAGTGTTCTTTAATATCGGTTCTCTGCGATCAAATCACGCAAGCATGACTCTTCAACAGTTCCCATGAAAAACAACACTTTACGGAATACCCAACTTGTTCAGCTTTTCTATCCATAGTATTAATAATGATTTACATAAATGCAGATTACATCGAAGTTCTCCGGCATGGTAGCGGAAAAAGTGGCCGCGGAGAAGAAAATATTTAAAGTGGAACTTGATACTATGGCA